TACATTTTTCTAAAAATCACCGATTTCTAAGGTGTAGATTTTATGGTTTGTAAATTATGCCTCAATAAGGCTCTTAAAAGAAAAAAAAAGATCTCACCAGATATACAGCCATCCACACGGGCCCTTGGTGACCCACCCCATTAAGGCATGAGGGGTTATAGAGCCAACAGGGTAGAGGGGCACCCACATGGGCACCCTTGCCTCTGCCGGTCATTTATGTTTGGGGACCTGAGTCCTGGGGTGCCAGTCAGGGTCTTCCACCCTCCGAACAGTGGAGAGACTGCTGCTTGGCACACCACCATGCCATTCACCTTCAAGTGTCAGCTGGCCAAGGGTGGAGGTGCCCACAGCTCGGGCCTCCAAGTACAGGCACTAGGAGGGTAGCGCTCAGTATTTCCTCCGCGGCAAACTCCTGACCTTGCCTAGCCCGACTGAGTCCAGGCTGCAGGTGGCCGGCCCGACATTCCGAAAGCAGCTTCAGGAGCAATCGTAGGGGCAAATGAAGAGTCAGCCTAACTTTGACACCCTAGAGACTTCAGGCACTTTGAGAAGGAGGAAAAAGGGAGGAGAATAAAGGAGATCGGGTACAGGATCTCTGATGAAATTTACTGAATTCACATAAAGATAAGAAAATCTGCTAAGCAAATTGCAGATACAAAAAATATTTCAAAGGGAGTGTTAAACCGGCTTCAGAAACACCTGCTAGAAACATCAGCTATCCAAGGATAGATATTCTAAGTATAATTCATTCTTATTGAGGCATCGGAGGAAGCCAGTGCAACTTCAAATTGCAGCAAATTGTAAACCTAATTCAAATGGCCTTTCCTCATTCATTCATTTATTTATTTATTCATTCATTTATTTATTTATTTAAAAAAAATTTTTTTTTTAACGTTTATTTATTTTTGAGACAGAGCATGAACGGGGGAGGGTCAGAGAGAGGGAGACACAGAATCTGAAACAGGCTCCAGGCTCTGAGCTGTCAGCACAGAGCCCAATGTGGGGCTCGAACTCACGGACCGTGAGATCATGACCTGAGCCGAAGTCGGCCGCCCAACCAACTGAGCCACCCAGGCGCCCCTCCTCATTTATTTTAACGTGGTTGTGACTGAATGTCTTTATAAAGGTTAAGTGGTGCTCACAATTGTACTCAAGGAGTGAACTCTCCTCCCACATTCATAGGAGTGCTTAATTTTAATCTTGCATGTGTTAATTTAATTTAATAAACTAGTATCTAATCCCAGAGCAACTATTTCTAAACTGGACACTTCCTACCAGCAATCACACGCTACAATCTAGACTTCATTCCTTGGGGATTCATGACCAAAGGGGCCCAGCACTGAAAGCGTTTATTAAAATCATCCCAAGTTTTTGCTTTGAAAGCAAAAACAAGAATAACTTTTTAAGCACTTTCCATTCCATTTTATATCCAAATAACATGCTAATTATAAGAAATCTTATTAACCTTAAAAACCAATACTGTTTAATGTGAAAGTAATGAAAACGGTTTCCTTTCATCGGATCCTACAATTTCTGATTAATTGTAATCAACTTGAGTAGAATGGCCTCTTTTTATACCCTTCACAATAGTGGCTCTCAAAAACTTTTTGATCTCAGGGACCCCCTTCTGCTCTTAAAACTTACTGAGGACCTCAAGGGGCTTTTGTTTCTGTCGGTTATATCTATCTGTATTTTCTGTATTGGAAATTTAAACTGAGAACATCTTAAAAAGATTTATTACCTATTTAAAAAAAAATTTTTTTTAATGTTTATTTTTGAGCGAAAGAGAGACAGAGCGTGAGTGAGGGAGGGGCAGAGAGAGAGAGAGAGGGAGACACGGAATCCGAAGCAGGCTCCAGGCTCCGAGCTGCCAGCACAGAGCCCAATGCGGGGCTCGAACCCATGAACCGTGAGATCACGACCTGAGCTGAAGTCGGACTTAACCGACTGAGCCACCCAGGCACCCCTGTTTGTTACCTACTTAAAAAATAAACTCATTACATCTTTTTTCTTTTAAAATTTTTTTTTTCAACGTTTATTTATTTTTTTGGGACAGAGAGAGACAGAGCATGAACGGGGGAGGGGCAGAGAGAGAGGGAGACACAGAATCGGAAACAGGTTCCAGGCTCTGAGCCATCAGCCCAGAGCCTGACGCGGGGCTCGAACTCACGGACCGCGAGATCGTGACCTGGCTGAAGTCGGACGCTTAACCGACTGCGCCACCCAGGCGCCCCAGACATCTTTTTTCTTTTAATTGGACATACCCATATTTTAAAAAACAAAGACAAAAACTGGAAGAGTAGTACTGTCTCATACTTTGCAAATGTATTTGACGTGTGTCTTCATGTAAACTCCTAGACTCCCAAACATGCTTCTACATTCAACTTGTCACGATGTGTTGTTTTTGTTGAAGTACATGGAGAAAATCCAGACTAACATGAATAGGGAACTAGAAAAGGGAAGAGTACTTCAATAGGCTCTTCAGATACTTGTGGTCATTTTTATTTCATACCATACCAAAACTTAACAAGCGACAGTTTCTTAAAACGCAGCTGCAGTGTGGAATCTGAAACCATAGCCGTGAACTTTTCATACGCGGTTACATTAAAATCCACTGGTTTATCTTACACAATACCAAAAAGTCACTTTTGTTGATTTGGCTGTGGATCTCACCAGACAAGTCTTTTAAGTATTGGAAAGCTGTCAAGTTCACGGAGGTGGATATGAGTTTTCCAAAACCCTTATTTTTTCTAGAAAGCTAGGATTTTCTCTTTGGTAATAAATATTGTCAGCCGTTCTCCTTGATGTGGCAGGCAGGCTCCCTGCATTCATTTGCCATGTGTACTCTGGGTTCAAGATGTAATACAATTCATAAAGGACATTCTTGGTGTGACTAGTTCTCTTTTTCTTGAAACCGTACGTGAGTACCAGCCCAATTAAGCTAAAGCTTCAGCAGTTTTGCCCTACTTTCTTTTTCTTTAATTTTTTAAATGTTTTATGTATTTTTGAGAGAGAGAGACAGAGTACGAGTGGGGGAGGGGCAGAGAGAGGGAGAGACACAGAATCTGAAGCAGGCCGCAGGCCCTGAGCTGTCAGCACAGAGCCCAACGTGGGGCCCGAACTCACAAACCGCAAGGTCACGACCTGAAGTCAGATTCTTAACCAATAGAGCCACCCAGGCACCCCTTACCCTACTTCTTTTGAACCTTCAGAGTGCATATCAGCAGTGTGCACAAGCCAAACAATGTCCCAGTGTCATAATGACAATAGCTTTGGCCTTCTCAGCCCATTGAAAGTATACGGATGAACCCTCCAGGGGACTCTAAGCCATGCTTTGAAAACTGCTATGTTACTATATGATAACTGACCCCCAGTGACCATTCAAATCTCCAGTGGCAGCCCCCAATCTGAAAGGGATTTTTCCTTATTCAGGTTACCCATATGTATTACTTGTCCCAAGAACATTAATATAAGTAGAAGGCTTTTTCCACAACAATCCAAATTTAATACAGAAGAATGAAAAATGAAATCTAGCTGCCACGGACAGATAGAAGAAACTAAACAAACTAAATTTAATATGTAAATTCTCCTCCAAGAAATTTAAAACCTACATTTTCCCCTGATTTATTCATTCGTTTCCCCATTCGTTGGGCTTTTTTGTGTAAGGCGTTTGTGTGGTATTGGAGAAATGGAGAGTCCTCGATGGACAGAACTCCCCCTCCCCCCCCTGCCTCCCGGCGCCCTGCCCCTGACCGGCTGGGTATGCCTCACAGGGTATGAAGCAGCCAGGAAATCAGGCAGAGGCACAACAGCCAAACTTATCTCATTACAAGACCCGGCCCCCCACTCTACAAGTAGCCTGTCCTTTGTAATCTCTGAGTCTCTGTTTTCTTAGCTGGATAGGAGGCAAATCCCACTTAACACTGTGAGGACTGGATAAAATGAGTGTAAAGCGTTAGCACGGCTCCTAGCCCACAGCAGGTATTCAATAAACGGCAGCCCTATTATGAGTGAGGTGCCCCGGAGGTAGCCTGGGTCCAGAGGGGAGTGGGACACACATCCAAGTAATTATGACCCAGCATGGGAACTGATTAACTGCAAAATGCGCTGGGAGTAAAAGGAAAATCAATGGTCTGCCTAAGTGAGGAAGGTGCTAGAATAAAGGAGCCACCATCTCAAAGGAAGGAGGAGCTGGCCCCACGGGAGAGAAGAAAAGGAAAAAAATCCATCAGACACACAGAACTGCTGGGCACAGGATGGAGAGCAAAGAACCCCCTGGAACCAGCTCACTTAGGGCCTTTAATGCCATGCTAAGGAGTGCAAACGTTTGAAGTGATTTTATTTTTGTAAAGACGGGTGACTTATAAATACTCACTGCTAACAGGCCCTCTGGTGTCTCGCTGCCTCCAATATACACACATTGTACTCATGCCTGTGACCTGTTAGCAGTCTCTTGGCTCGAGCCTGACTAGTGGAGAAAAGAACAGAAAACCTCTCTCAGAGCGAGCCCCAGCAGCTGGGGGGATCTGCCCTCGGTGTTTTAAAGCACAAATGAGGGACCTACGGGGAAAAGCCACTTTGCAGGCTCTCCGACACTTCTAAAATCTTGAAGCGTGAAACTTTATCTCCATCCCGGCCCCATTTTGCCTCAGGTCCTGTGCTCCAGTGGAATTTATAGGTCGTTTTGCTTAATGGAGTGAGAAGAAACAGAAAGGGTCTCGTGGTGCCCCATGTCCTCTATCACGACTCCAGCCGTCTGTGAGGACGGCCATGGCACGAGTGAGCCCTGAAGCCCAAAGAGGCCTTCCATCTCTCTTTTTCTCGGGCAGGGATATCAGATGCTGCCCGGGTGCATCTGTACCCAAGGATGTATCACAAGGTCAGCACGGGGATGGCCCCCCAGGCGCTCCTGCGGATGCACGCGCACAGGCTCCGCGCTCACACACAGGATGCGACCATTCAGACAAAATCCACCGCGACCACAGCAATGTCTTACTCACCCAGAATTTTACGAGGAAGAAGGCATTTTGGGGGCCTTTTCCAAACAGTTCCTTTAAGCCACCTTTCTTTTCAGGAAATTTGTCATAAATCTGACGAATGTCCACTGATTCGAGCAATGGGTCACTGTAAGAATGGTTGGCATGCCCAATGTGCACGAAGAGGTGTTTGTTGTACTGTAAGAAACCAACAGAAACATTCCCATTACAAACCCTTTGATCAACCTGGGGCACATCCATCTTGAACTGGAAAAAAAGAGCAATAGTCTCGAAATCCTGGAATTACGCCTTGAATAGCCTAGGGTCTGTGCCTTTGAAAAGATGAAGACGTTAAGAAAAGCCACTATAGCTCAGGGTTAAAACAATCATTGTCTATCATTGACAAGGGCATATGTTTTCCCTAAAAGGGGCTTTCTGGAGACATAGCAGTAAATAACAGCTGAAGTTATTTTAACTACCAAACCAAGAAACTATCCTCTCACCCAGTTTCATCTGATTCAACTGAGAATGACAGCAACACCCTTTGGAGCCCAATATTTGCAATTAAGCCCAACAAAAAGTGTGTGTGTGTGGTCAGCTAACAGCATCGCCCAGAATGCACTTCTTGCCCCAGCTCCCCTGGCAACAGCACGGATGCAGTGCTCTGGGCAGCGGTACCCACCTACTTCCTCCAACGGGAGTAAGAGTGCCGAGCCTCTTTCCCACCATTCTCCTCAGTAACCAGTCTAAAGCTTCTGCAGAGGGGCCGGTCAGTACATGTTTGTCAGTGCAAAGTTAGGGTGAGGAGTACAGTCCATGGAGAGGATTCATGGTACAAGGCTATAAGGGGCCAGTAATCTGAGAACACAGGTCACTCAGTCACGAACCAACCAACCAACCAACCAAAACCCTGTTCAGTCGTTTAACTTAGAAAAGAGACCCTTTCTTCTCCTTGCTTTGGTAGAAGACATGGTCACTGGACCACAAAGGAGTTGTCCAAACCAGTGGTTCTCAAAGAACATTTAAACCTCACCAGTGCCTGGTTAGCCCATCCGGACTCACTGGAAATCCCAGAAAACGAGGCCAGCCATCAGCAATTTTTAGTGGTCATTACATGAGTTGCAATATGCAGCCAGGTTTGAGAACCACTGGCCTCCACTTCCTACTCCAGGTCCTCTGTGCCTGCCTCTCCTGCAGAAAAGACGCTTGACACCAACATAACGTGACACAAACACGTCTGGGGCGGGGGGGGGGGTTGGGGCTGTGGGGAGAGCGGAACCCAACAGGACTCATACAAGAGATTCTATGCCCCTGCTCGCCGAGCAGCCCCTGTTTACCTTTTAAGTTTAAACGGACGTTTCTCCAACTAGAGTGCTTCGGGGTACTGATCCCATTGGGAATGAGGAGTCCCAAATACAAGAAGGCTTGGTCAAGGTCGCCTACCAGAAGAGTACCATATCCTGGTTAAGAGCATGGGGTCTGGACTCAGCCTGCTTGAGTACAAAGCTTTGTGCCCAGGGCAAACCAGCTAAGACAAGTGCCTCCCCAGTCTTTAAAATGGGGAAGGTGCTGGCCTCTACCTCCCAGGGATGCTATGGAGTTTAAATGAGAAACTGCATAGAAAGAGCTTAGTAGGCTCACAGACTCAATGAACAGGAAACGATATATGCTAGCTAGTATTACTGGCTACTGTTTTAAAAAAACCCCTTCTTTGAGATTCACAGTAGGTATTAGCATGATGAAAAAACAGTTTTTAACAGTGTAACCCAAAGTTTCCTAAACTTGCGTGGTCACAAAACCCTAGAAATACATCCTGAAGAAATGCTGGTTTAAATCCCTAACTTGCTACACAGACCATGGACCTCTGGCCACAGGACCAGAGGGCAGGAGGCTCGACACCCCATCCGATGGCAGTTGTTCACAGTGCTGGAGATAAGGAGATGGCGGCCAGGGCCCAGCATCTTCTGGGAGAAGACTACGCCCCTCTTCTGTTCAACATCAGAAAGGGATCTTTACCAAAGCTTCAAAATCCCTAAAAAGCATCAGGGGAAATGGAAAAGGGAGCACCTGTCCAGCTCTGTCACGGACCCAGCCTCTGCCCAGCTACCTGGTAGGTTTCAGGTGAGACTGGGGGCTGGGGACCACTATGCAAGGACAGACTATGCCTGTACCGGAAGAGAATTTTAAAAACAAAGTCAAAGCCATTGCCAGGTTAGGGAGCTGAGATCCACACAGCGGAGTGTCTCTGACCTTTCTGTAAATGTTCCCAAATGCTGTCACATCATCTTTTCTCTATTTCCCCGCCATTCTGAGAGCTGAGGGCAAAAGGTGTTCTTTCATTATCCAGGTGACCGGCCGAGTGCGTGTCCATCCACCCAACCCTTCTTAATAACCTCTGCTGGTAGCAAGCTCCCAGCCCTCCCCGGCCCTGTCCTGGCGGCACCGTTTCTGTCATTTCGTGTGCCCCCTGCAGGCCGTGAGTTTCTGGGCAAGGATGCGCCACAAGCAGAGCTATGGGGACACCTGCAGATAGAATCCGAGTCTCTCTGCAGAACACCGCACTCCCAGCTCTTCCTCCCTGGCAGCCACCCACAGGCAGCCAGAGCTGGGATGTAGGTGAGGAGCTGGGACTTGCAGTCTTTTTGGCTCACGACGGCTAGGGTCCCTGCAGCGTCCTGCTGGAATCCAGGACCTCTGCACGTCAAGAGGACAGGAAGGTGAACGGGGGGCAAAATTTACCACACTTTCACGGGGGCCATGAAGATATGGCTGAACACAAAAACCCCGGAGCCAGATGGGAACCTGAAATCCCAGCTTGCTCACACGGTCAACGAGGACACACCACGTGTACTGCACTGCGGGTCTGAAGATGAAAGGTGATCATGCAGAGAGGGCCCTCAGCATAGGGCCTACCACGTAAGAGGTACTGGACCGACTGTAGCTGCTGAGATTCCTACTGTTGTCGTTTACCATCATGTGAGGTGACTCCATCCTGGGGGGAGAGGCAAAAGAACTTTCCTGCTTTCGCTACCCCTTTGCCAAGCAAAGAAAAAATAAGCACAGGTAAGCCAAGAGCTGGGAGCAAGTTGCGAAGCCATGTGACCGTTCAAATTCTCGATTGTGGCCCACTCATAATGAGCTTCCCGGGGTGTAGGCCTCTCCTGTGCCTGACGGACGGAAAAGAGTTGTATCCATTCACTGCTCCGGGCAACGTGCTTTCTATATATGTGACCTCAGGTAATCCCAGCCTCACAATGACACTGCAGGGGCATTTTATTAAGGTCATTACACACAAGGAAATGGAAGTTCAGAGATGAACAGACTTGCCTGAGGTCACACTTCCGGGAATAGTCCCAGAGTTAAGAATAAAACTTGGACCTGTCAATGCCACAGCCTGAGCATTTGCCGCAAACGTCAACCACACCGCCTCCCAGAAGAAAATGTCTAGACCCTTCTCACTCACTCACATCTACGTTTTCTGATGGTTTATTCGAGAAAAGAGAAGAGAAAAAAGCTGACTTGTGTTTGCAAAATTCTAAGAAGTTAAATTAGAATTCAGGATAAACATAATGATTCGCAGATGCATCAGACGGACTCTTCTTCTAAGGTTTCTATTTTGAGGAAGTTACCTTTGTGCCCGAGTGGCTGAAATGAACGGAGAAGGGCAGGCTGTCTTTGCCAAAGGAAACCGGGCACTGCCTCTCCAAAGCTGGTGACGTGAAACCAAACCCTGACTGCTGGCATCTGGGTGGCTTGATTCCTGCCAAGAGGTGACTTTGTTTCTAAGAATACAAAGGACTAAAGAAGGTATCCTGGAGACCACAGCAGTGAGACAAACAGCCTTCCCTCTCCCCTTAATTCAACCTGGGTAGGTTAGGAATCCCTCCGCCCCCAAATCCAGAAGACTGAAAGGAAGAGATCTACTGGATACGTCTGGGTTCAAGTTTTGATGCAATCAAAACTCTAAAAACCATTTGGTAAGGCTCTAACTACTTCCCATCCTGCCAGTTCTCCTTATAAGGGAAGAAGGCCAGGGTGAATACCTGATTTCCCTTCCTCCTTCCCATACAAATCCCATTTTCCTTTCAGCAATGGTGGTTTCCCCAAAGCTAAAGGTGACACACGGCACCAATAAAGGGCAATTCTATTGTATAGGGCAGGAAACAAATATTGGCAAAAACAACACCAGTAGCAGCAACTAAAAATCGTAAGTGTTGGGGGCAATGTATAAGCAGAAACAGGGTGAATGTCAGTAAGTCATGGACACTAAAGCCTAAGACTAGATTGCCTCGATACCAAAAAAGGAGGTTAGCGTTGGTTTGTTCAATGATTAAAAAAAAGTCTCCTGCGGTGGTCAGTGGATGTGTGGATTATCAACATTTCAATGACAACTACAGAAAAGGTGCTCATTCTGCATATTTCTTTTGTGGATTTCAGTGGAACAAACCAGCACTCCTATGGCCCATTCTATGCCAGGCACTATGCTAGACACAGGGAATCCATGAGCTAATAGCACAAAACCCTTTTCTTCACAGACCCTATAGACTCACCGTATGGAGCTAGTCTATCGCCTCCACCGTCAGAATCATATATTTACCCATGTAAATAAATGTTCTCAATGATTCCCATAGAGCGGGTTGGGAATAAAGACAGTCAACATTTCCTCTCCCGTGTATCACATGACTTAAATCAGCATTCACCTGCTCTTTTGATAGGAATGACTATTCTCCAGCACTAACCATACAGTGTTACTCATGAGCAAGGAGAACAGAGGTGGAACTCACGGGATGTGAATAAGGGTTCACAAGTCTAAGTTGGAAACCATGATGAGAAACAAGTTATCCATCACATCTGAGTGAGAGTTGAACACACTCAGATTTGTAAAGGTTTCAGAAAATTAGCCCTGGCTCCAACTATTCCAGCTAGCTGCCGGAGGATGTTTTCACAAAATGAGGAAATAAATCACAAGAGGGAGATGGGGCCCTAATCCAGAAGAGAGGTAAGAGAATGCACAGGCTAGCAGCTGGGCCCCTGACCTGGACGGCAGCTGGTCCAGGGTGGATGGAGAGCCGGAGGGGTGCCACCAAGGGGACAATGGACTTGAAAGATCCCCTGACTTATGTGACCATCTGGAGAAGAGTATGAGAACTCTGTTAGAAACGTTGAGGATGAACTTGTATGGGCATGTAAAAACCGAA